GATGCCTACCAGGCGCTCTGGTGGTATATGGCACAGTATATACCCTGGACAGCTGAGCATGACAAGCCAGAGGGAGAGGAGTTTGATGGTCCTGGCTTGTTATGGGAGTCCTTTGCAGAGCCTGACTTCGGGAGCCCTGCGCAGACCAGACTTCAGGACATTTTCTACGAGAGGGAGGCTAGGCATGACTGGGATGACCCCCATGAGGTAGAGCAAGACCTGGCTCACCTAGCAACCCTGGAGTGGGAACTGGAGCAGGACTACCTAGATCTCTTCCACTCCATTGGGAAGACTCAGCAGGACAGCAAGGTGACAGACCCAGATCCAGACCCCTTCAGCTGGGAAGATATTGTAGAGCTTTACTGGGAGGAACCCCAGGCGGAGATGGGACTGAGGTCTCTTCACCGGCCCTACAGGGATGCTGGGCAGTCAGCCCAGATCCCCAGTGGCAGATTGATTTGCAGGGAATAGAGAGCCATGTCTCCTTTCCCCAGCGGCAGTGTGAAGTGCAGGGAGTGGAGAGCATCGTCTCCCCTCCCCAGCGGCAGTGTACCTTGCAGGGAGAGGAGAGCAGCGTCCTCCCTTCCCAGCAGCTGGGTGAGTTACAGGGATGCTGGGCGGTCGGATCAGATCCCCAGCAGCAGTGTGATATGCAGGGAATTGGGAGCCCAGTCTCCATTCCCCAGCGGCAGTGTGATATGCAGGGAATTGGGAGCCCAGTCTCCATTCCCCAGCGACAGTGTGATATGCAGGGAATTGGGAGCCCAGTCTCCATTCCCTGCAGGCAGTGTGATCTGCAGGGAATAGGGAGCCCAGTCTCCATTCCCCAGCGGCACAGTGATTTATTAGGAATTGGGAGCCTAGTCTCCATTCCCCAGCGGCAGGCTAAGTTACAGGGGGCAGAGACAGCTGGTCCTGTCCCCCAGCGCAGAGTGAATTGCAGGGAATTGGGAGCCCAGTCTCCATTCCCCAGCGGCAGAGCAATGTACAGGGAATTGGGAGCCCAGTCTCCATTCCCCAGCGGCAGGTTGAGCTACGGGGGCAGAGACAGTCGGTCCTGTCCTCCAGCAACAGGGCTGTTTAGCCAAAGGGGAGACAGTCGGTCTCCCCCTCCAGCAGCAGAGCTGTGTATCTACTGGGGAGACAGTCGGTCTCCCCCTCCAGCAGCAGAGCTGTGTATCCAAAGGGGAGACAGTCGGTCTCCCCTTCCAACAACCAGGCTCCAACCAGGCTACTTCCGTGGTAGCGCTGGCACCAGGGCAGAGTACCGCTGGTCTCTGCCCACTCAGCAAACCACCAAGGCAGCCATTTCTGGGTGGTCCACCTGTATAGCACTTGGTTCAGTAAGCCCCATTTACTGAACCAAGTGGGAGAAAGCCATGCACCAAGGATTTTAAAGGTCTGGGGACATAGTCTAAATTGTCACATAAAGGTTCAATATGACCCCAGACTTTTCTTAAAGGGCCCGCACGGTCTAATAGAAGTCCATTAGCCACAATACTGTTTTTAAAGTGCCCAATCTCCGAGGGGCCATAGTCCCAAGGCATGAGGCTGACAATCAGTCCCCTCCAAAAATCAGTGGCAAGGTCCCTTTAAGACTGTATCCCCAGACTGTTAAAATACCTTGTTCGTGGCTTTTTCCCACTTGGTTCGGTAAATGGGGCTTACCGTACTAATTACTACACAAGTGGACCACACGCAAGTGGAAGTGTGCAGGCAATTTACCTCTCAGGCTGGCGGGTAACTGCAGGTTAATTGCCGACCGCTGGGTGGCCGCCGTTCGTACAGTCGAACACGTGGCGGCGGCCATATTTATTTAGTCGAACGCGGTCAGTGGTGTGTGCCGGCAAATCCATGGAACTAGAATCGGCTACCCATTTACACGAACACCACTGACCCTTACCTTCTCTGCAACTTCGACGCTTCGGCTGGAATCGAAGTGCGTTCGATGATTCATTTTCAGTTTAAAATAGACCGACTACACAGCCCAAATCTATGGCACTGTTTTGGGCAGGAAAGCCATGCTTGAGGTCGGTCAAAAAGGACTTCCACCTAACTTTTAAACCACTGGAGGGAATTGTCTGATTTTTGGATATGTTACCCTTGACCCTTTCTTGATGCCTTGGCTCATGCTTGGGGGATAGGATAATTTCTCTCTTACAAGAGCTTACTCTGGGGACTGCTATAATTACACAATACTCCCCAGAGTAAGCTCTTGTAAGAGCTGTTCTTGTTCCTGCTACGCTCTCTGGAGGAAGAGAGGCCTGCCCACTGGAAGTTGGATCCTGGCCTTGGGTCCAGGGTTGGTGAAGGACACAGAGACCCCAACGCAGCTGCATCACTGGAAGTGGGGTCTGCAGTGCTGATGGTGTCGGAGTATTGATTGGCGGAGGTACTCGGTCGGAGTGCCAGCGGTCCGTCACACATACCATCTGCCCTGTCGTTGCTGGTCCATCTGGAGGTTGGTACGTACTGTCCAAGTCAACTCCTCCAGGTGCTCCTGGAACTCATAGGGACAATAGGGGTGCCATTTGTGGTCACTTCCCCTTCCCAATGTTCCCCGGATGAGGTCTAAAGGGCCCCTCATCCTCCTCCCGAACAGTTATTCAAAAGGGGAGAACCCGGTGGATTCTTGGGGAACTTTTCTGTAAGTGAATAGCAGATGGGGTAGAAACCTCTCCCAGTCCTTTTTGGTGTCTACGAATGTACGGATCATCTGCTTCAGAGTTCCGTTAAAACGTTCGCAGAAACCGTTGGACTAGGGGTGATAGTCTGAATTGAATATGGGCTTAACACCGCATACTTTCCAGAGTTGGTGGGTGACCTGGATACCTAGTGGCATAATCCACTATGGTCAAAATGTACTTCTTGCCAGGGGGACTGGGTTTGACAAGGATCCTATTATGCAGTGGTGTATCCTGGTTTTGTGCTGCCCTAGGCAGGACAAAACTCAGGCGTCCTCTCCCCCCGCGCCACGCCCACCCAACCCTTCCCCCCTGCCCCACCTTCTAAATACACACACACACAGTCAGACACACACACACACAGTCAGACACACACACACAGTCAGACACACACACACAGTCAGACACAAACACACACACAGTCAGACACACACACACAATCAGACACACATACACAGACACAGTCAGACACAAACACACACACACACAGTCACAAACACACACACACACAGTCAGACACACACACACCCAGTCAGACACAAACACACACAGTCAGACACAAACACACACACCCACACACAGTCAGACACAAACACACACAGTCAGACACAAACACACACACACACACAGTCAGACACAAATACACACGTACACAGTCAGATACAAACACACACACACACAGTCAGACACAAACACACACAAACACACACAGTCAGAAACAAACACACACACACACAGTCAGACACAAACACACACACAGTCAGACACAAACACACACACAATCACTCACATTAACTTTTTTTTTAATCCCCCCAGCCTCCTTACCTTTGGGAGTGCTGGGGGGTCTCTCTTTTCCTGGTGGTCCTTGTAGTCGGGCTGGGCAGCGCTGGCTGCTGTGCAGGCGGCTGGCGAGGGAGCTGAGCAGTCAGCTCAGGGAAGTGCTCCCTCGCCAGCCGCCTACCAGCGCCGCCCGCCCGCTCGGCATGTCTGTTAGCCGCGAGGCTAACTAGGCATTTTCTCTGTGCATTTGGGGGCGGCGTTTTTTGCCGCCCCCTGAAAAATGCCGCCCAAGGCAAATGCCTTGTTTGCCTCCCGGCTAATATGTCCCTGCTATTATGTCCACAGCTACTCTGCTAAACGGTTCCTCAATGATTGGGAGGGAGTTTCGCTTTATAGCGGTCTCTGCTTACATACCCTCTGGCAGGTGTCACAGGTTTGACAATATTGCCTTTGAGATACCTGGCCAGAAGAAGTTCTGTGTTAGTCGATGTTTAGTTCGACTGACCCCTAAATGGCCTGACAGAGGAATGTTGTGTGCTATGTGCAGCAAATCCTGACTATACCTTCTGGGTACTATTAACTGTTTAGTGGGGATCGGGACAGACCCAGCTACTATCTTTTCTGTGTAGTGATATAACAGTCCTTTGTCCCAGACATATCTCTCTCCCTCCAACCCAGCCTGGCTGTTCACTATCCTGTTCCTATATACTTGTAAGGAGGAATCTAGAGCTACCTCATTCCCAAATTCCAAGGGGGCATCCCAGCTGGAGAAGGGTTTAAAATGCTTACCTGAGCCTCAGAGTGCGTGTATGGAGCCGCGGTGCAGGCCTGCTGTCGGGTGACGACTGGGTACGCCTCTTGTACTGTAGGTTGGGGAACGAATGCTGAAGTGAGCTCCCCCAGATCGTTGCCCAATATAACATCCGCCGGCAAGTTCTACATTAGCCCGACCTTGATGTCCCCGGATCCTGCTTCCCAATTCAAATGAATGCTCCCCTTGCCACTTGCACGGCCACAGAACCTCCGGTGTGGGCCTCCTCTGGAATGAGATGATTCCGGACCAAGGTCAAGGTGGCCCCCAAGGTCTAGGTGCACTACCTGGCGATGGTTTTGACGGTTGTCAGAGGCTGCTTGGATGGGGTTAGACTGATGTTGAACCCACAGTTGATCCTCCGCTGTTGTGGCTGGAGTGTTTCGAGCGTTGGTCTCACCCTGGTAACAAGGCACTGCAGCTCGATTACTGGGTGGTTGGTTCGGCCAGGATTGGCAGTTCCTGTTCCGTGCACAGGCTATTTGCATATGGCACAGCTGGTTGCATGTGTGGCACAGCATCCCATTTTGGTTAGGTGGTCGTGCAATGGTCGGAGCTGCAGAAGCTGGAAGAGGTGCTGTAGGTCTGGAGAATAAGCGCGGAGGTGGACGTTGGTATCGCATTTGTTGTGGATCAGAAATGTTGATCTTTGTTATATTCAGAGGAAGCCCAAATTGTTGTTACAAGTGCACTTGGAGAAGCGAGAATTAGACACCAGACACCTGTTGGTATTCAAAATAAGCCTCTGACGTTTTATTCATCAGCTGGGTTTTATACATTAAAAAGTAAATGCTTACTTGCAAATACTCTTAGAACAGTAATAGGAAGGGAGTACAGATAAGGGATGAGCGTCATGTATACATAACAAATAAGTTTCAAAGTAAGAGAGAACAAAAAGATTAGAGCAGAGACATCTTAGGTGGGGGCTCTCTGCTCCCGGAACTTAGACATATATGGTCTTAAGTGTTGTATAACCCCTTAAGGACCAAACTTCTGGAATAAAAGGGAATCATAATATGTCACACATGTCATGTGTCCTTAAGGGGTTAAGCATCAAGCATTTCCTGAGTCCAAGTTAGCCAATTTTAATATAGGATATCATTATATGACACCTATAAGCTTGAGCCGTGAAATCAAGATTAATTATATCACAATCCCATCTTTTGATCCAAGGGTCACCCAAATGTCCAAGGTATATCCAGGCCTGCTAGCCAAAGCCTGTGGGACTTTCATTTATTGCTTCACCACGGTTCTCTTGGACTGAGAGACCATCAGAATCAGCGGAAGAGAGTTCCTTCATTTCCTAGGCGAGGTAACATCATAAAACCTTTCCAAAGTCGGAGCTGGAATGTAAGTTAAGGTACGACCAACAGTAGGTTTGTTTTACATAGAGAGGTTAGTAGACATGAAAAAAATCTAAAGGTTAGAAAAATAGCCATAATGACAAATACAGCTAATAGCAAAAAGTACAAAAATTTCTTAATTAGTAAAGTCAACCATGTTCCTAGCTCAAATGTCCAATCCCAATCCCCAAAGAAACCAGTATCCTGTTTGATATCCTGTACTAAGTCATGTAAATCTTTTATATGTTTATGGATCATAGTGCCATGGTCAGACAGGTTAAAACAGCACATACCTTCAATAGCTTCACAGCTAATTCATGTTTCATTAGTAAGTAGTCAATGGCTGCTCTATTCTCAAGGATTGCCTTCTTATTTGCCTGGTTGTCCATAAGTAGCTCTTCTAGGGCCTGTGAAGTGGCATTTGCAAGGGAACAGGCTACAGCATTAACTACTCGGGTATTATACAATGCTAAGCCTGGGACTCCTACCAAGGTGTACGCTAGGGCAGTGTATTCGGCTTTAGATAAGAGAGTGATTTCAGGGTTACAATCTGCATTAAGGGTGTTTTTAACATCTCTCCTGTCTCTCAGCAGTTTGTGTAGCTGGGTGGTTTTTAGTGATCAGGTCAGATTTGGAAAACATGGTCATGGTTAGGCAAGAGATTGCACAGGGACCTCCTGTAATGTTACCTGGGACATAAGCATAAGTAATATTTCCAAAGGAGAAAGTCCATCCTTTAGGATGATATACATTGTAGTGGTAACTCATAACTTGGTGAGTTTTGGTACAATTCATAGTGGTGCTCAGGGCTCTACAATTTGTGGTATTTTTCCACCACGTGGGGCAAAACAGTGATTCAGTATTAGGGTCTCTTGAACAATTACATGAAAAAGACCAACATAGTTCAGCGCCTGTCACATTAATTGTCTACAGGGCTAGAGGAGGCTTGCCTACCAGTGGGTTGAAGGCATAATAATATAGTTGTAGAGATTTATGGGGTCTATGGGTATGTAGGTACTTCCTCAGCAGTGAGATGGGGGTAGGGATAGCTATAAGACAAGATTCTATAGTGTTTTCAGTACTTAGGAGAAGGTTGAGGCAAAAGGAGGTTAAATTAAAAGCCTTTGCTATCTGCAACCATATATTTTCCTGCCATGCATTATTATTTTCTGGGCTCAAGTCAGGATAGCATATCCGAACACAGCATAAAATGGTAAAGGATAAGAACAGCTTCATGTCGGTGGATCAGTCGGAGTGACTTGTTTACAGTGACTGGCGTGTATCCACGTGGCTTTTCCTTCTAGTTTCACCGAGGTAGCCGTAGTCAAGAGCACTTGGAATGGACCGTCAAAGCGTGGTTCAAGTCCTTTCCTCACATGCCTTTTTATCACCACCCAATCACCAGGTTGCAGTTTGTGAGTTGCAGAATAAGAGTCTGGATTTGGAATAGAATCAAAGAGTTGTTTATGCACCCTGCCTAATCTTTGGTGTAGGGCCTGAACATAGGCAGTCATACTACCATGCTGCATTTGGAAGGTTTGGGGAAAATAGAGGCCTTTCTTTGGGGCACATCAAAACAGGATCTCAAAAGGGGATAGGCCATGTCTGGAATTGAGGGTGAATCTCATAGAAAAGAGTGCTAGGGGAAGGCATTCAGTCCAGGGCTTCCCTGTGTCTTGCATGGCTTTTGCAATCTTGTTCTTTAAGGTGCCATTTGCCCTTTATACTTTCCCACTACTCTGGGGTGATAGGGGGTGTGGAAGGCCTGACTGATCCCTAAGGCTTTCATAATTTCTTGCATTATTTCCTCAGTGAAATGGCTACCTCTGTCACTTTCAATCACTTCAGGTACTCCATATATACATACCAGTTCCTTCAGAAGCTTACTTGCTGTGACCTTCGTTGTGGCTTTCGACACTGGGTAGGCCTCAGGCCAACCTGAAAAGAGATCAATGCACACCAACACATATTCATACACTCCTACCTTAGGTAGTTGAATATAGTCTATCTGCAGTCTTTGAAACAGGTAAAGTGGCCTTGGTGTGTGCTTACTTGGTGTTTTGACAGCCTGTCCTGGATTGTTTCTAGCACAAATCATGCAAGCATGGGTGTGTTTAGCTGCTACAACAGTAAATCTGGGTGCTATCCAATGGGTGTTTACTATGCAGTTCATGTGCATCTTGGATAGATGTGTAGGTCCATGGGCAATCTGCACCATCATGGGGTACAACACTTGTGGCAAACACAGTCTTTTACCTTTCCTCCACATTATGTCATCATCAGGTTCTGCATCTTGTTTCCTCCAGAGGTCATGTTCTTCCTTGCTTGCCTGTCTTTGTAAGCTCAACAGTATATTGTAGTCAACAGCGTCATCTGTAAGAACAACTTGTAGGAAGGTATTACCTGTAGAGGGATGAACTTGGATTGCTGCTTGCTTGGCAGCTTTGTCTGCTTTGTGGTTTCCTCTTGAGATTTCATCTGTGATCTTCACGTGAGCTGCCACCTTGATGATGCCTACTTCAGTGGGTAGCAGGATAGCGTTCATAAGTGCACTCACGGCTTCAGAGTTCTTGATTGGAGTTCCTGCTGAGGTGAGAAAATCACGAGCCCGCCATATAGGGTCAAAATCATGGGCTATACCAAAAGCATAGCGAGAGTCTATAAATATTAGCAGTCTTACTTTCAGCGAGTGCCTTCAGCTCTGCCTCCTGTGCAGAGCAATGAGGAGCGAGAGGTTCAGCTTTTATTACCTCGTGTGCAGATACTACAGCATATCTGTGTGGAAATTACCCTTCTCATCAGCATATCTGAAAACATCTACATAAAACTCAAAATCTGCATTAGATAATGGAGAATCAATTACATGCAAAAAACCTGCTGTCTCTTGTGCCATTAGTGCTGCACAATCATGGGGTACCTGGGCATCAGCTAACTCACCTGGTGAAAGCGAATTTTAAAAAAGATCAGAAGTACAAGTACCATTCCCACTATCCCCATTCCCCTCTTTTAAATGCAGGGGAAGCAATGTAGACATTTTAAGAGTAACATTAGGTGGCATAAGCAAGGCACATTGCATTCTGAGATGCCTTGCAGTATGTATGTGTTTTGGTTGAACTTGTGAGAGTATGCTGTTGATTTCATGCGGTGTGTATATGGTCACCGGATTATCTAAAACAATATCAGTGGCTTTGTCCAGGAGGGCAGTAACATCCGCCGCTGCCCTAACACATGAGGGGGCACCCCTGGCAACAGGGTCCAATCTGGTGGAGTAGTATGCTATTGGTCTTTGTTTACCACCATGGTCCTGTGTAAGGTTGATGTAGCATAACCTGATTGCTCAGTACAGAACAGGTTAAAATTCTTTCTGTAATCTGGGAGACCCAGTGCCGGAGCTGACGTTACCAGGGTATAGAAGGCATTTTCTGCTGCATGGGTTAATTTAAATGGTTTGTTTTCGTTGGCAAGACAATCATACAGTGGTTGCATGTAGATAGCTACGGAACGCAGCCAAGGACAGCAGTAAGAAATCAAACCGAGGAAAGTACGAACCTGGGCTAAACTGCGGGGGGGTCTAATATTTTGAACTGCAGTCTTTCTACTTTCCGTGAGATGTTTAATGCCCTGAGAAATGCAATGTCCTAGGAAAATAACTTTCTCTACACATGCTTGCAGTTTCGTTTTTGTTGCTTTACAGCCTGCTTTTTCTAGGAATTTTAGTAAGGAAAGAGTGTTTACAATACAAGATTCCATATTATCGCAACATAGGAGTAGGTCATCGATATACTGCAATAAAATTACATTGTTTGGCCTTTGCCACTCTTCAAGAATCTGTGCCATAGCCATGCTGTACATAGTGGGTGAGTTTTGTGCGCCCTGTGGCAATACTGTCCAAGTGTACGGCTTGTGTTTATGTGTAAATGCAAATAAAAACTGACTGTCGGGAGCCAGGGGGACACTGAAAAATGCATTTGCCAAGTCAATAACAGTAAATACCTTAGAGGAAGGTGGTATTTGTGCCAACAAGGTGTGTGGGTTGGGAACATTAGGGGCAATGAGTTCAGTTACAGCATTAATTGCCCTCAAATCATGTACCATACGGTAGACCACAGGTTTCCCTTTCTCTTGCTTTTTCTTAATTGGGTACAATGGTGTGTTACAAGGGGAGGTGGTCTGGACAACTACCCCTGCCTGCAGAAACTCTTGCACAGATTGCGAAATAGCATCTTCCTGTGCTGGGCTTAGGGGGTATTGTTTTTGATAGGGAGGTTTGGCTCCGGGCAGGAGATTCACTTTGACTGGGGGCACAGAGAGTCTGCCTGTATCTGTCTTCCCTGTAGCCCATAAGGAATCAGGGACTGAGGACAAGTCAATGGTAGGTTCTGGCACATGGCTGGGCATAGTGAGAGTTGCCAGAACATTTGAAAGAGATATCATTTGTTTGTCCTCTAAAGGCACAGACAATGTTACTTTTCCAGTGGGGCTATACTGGATATTTGCACTAAGAGCAGACAGTATATCACTGCCTAGTAGATTAGCAGGGGCATGAGGGCTGACAAGTAGCCTTGTTACAAGGGCAGTAGAGTCGTGTAGCTTCAATTTCAGCTTGTGGGTCAGGGGAATGTCATTTTCAATACCATCTACCCCTACACATGATAATACATCATTAGATTTCTCATACGGGAATACATATTTTTCCTGTAACATTGATTTAGCAGCGCCAGTGTCCAACAGGAAAGGGACTATTCGGTCCCCAGGCAGTGTAACATTGATAATGGGTGAGGGTCCTGCAGAGTCAGGGATATTGATGATATGTAGGGACACTGGTTTGCCAATTTCCTATTGGGGGGGGGGAGGTGGTGGTTGGCTGTCATGGGAGTTATCATTAGAATCTTGGGGTTTTCTATTTTTAGGAGGACACTTGCAGTTCCGTTTAATGTGTCCTTTCCTGCTACAATTCCAGCAGTCTACCTGCCTTCTGTCCCCATCAGCTCTAGGGACAGTTACAGCCATTTGAGGTGTGCTCCTCTTTCTAGTATTTAGATTAGCTTCCACTCCCCTAGCCACCTTCACCAGATCACCATAGGTTAAACTTCTCCACTCAGGTCTAGCATTTTGGAGACCAGTCCTTATGGGTATGTGGATACCATCCATGAAGCAGTTAAGAAGCAGTCTGGTCGAAGTGGTTACAACATCAGTGTAACCCAATGCCTCCCAAGCCATTTGTAGTCTGGTGAAGAATGTTTCTACAGATTAATATTTCCATTGTAGTATATCTCCTAATTTATGGGCTAGTTCCTCTGTCTTTACCTTAGCCCATTCTCTCATTGCAGTGACATAGCATGCTCCAGATGCAGACTTGGTTCTAAACCATTCATCTGTTTGCATGTTGCTTTTTCTGAGGTTATCTTCATGGGCATCTGTACATTTAGCAATTATTCTAGCCCAAATGGGGCCAGCTTTTAGTGCCACAATCTGTATTAAATCCATGCAAGTACACTGGTAAGTAGCTTGAATTGTGGATAGAGACTGGACTAGAGATAAGGGGGCCTTTTCAACATCTGCCAGCTGCTGTATTATTGCCAGTTGTTCACTGTCCAGGGCTTATATTCTTCCCAGTATTGGATACCTGAGCTCGGCTGTCTGTGCTCATGGTATATGCTCTCAACTTTGGGTATCATGGGAGTAGAAAATTGTGGAGCTAATGGCCCCACTGGGGTGTCTGTGGTGGCAACTAGTGGTTCCTTTAAGTCTGGACTACCTTCCTGCTCAGAGGGACACCATATGAAGTTCCACTGCGTAATATTACTGGAAAGAGAGGTTTTGATCTCCGTAAAAGGGAAATCTCCTGGCCTTTTGGGACTAAAGGAGTCCCTGCAGTATCCTGGTAAAGGGGTGGGTCTACAAGATTTTTCCCAGGATCTTGCCTACTCTGGGACCCTAGAGGTCCAAAAAATTGATAATATGGTACACCTTTCCTGGTGGGTTCTCTACAACCACATTTAGTTAATTCAACAGCAGTATCATGCCATTTTTGTGCGACTTATACTAGGTCATTATCTTCTAACCATCCTCTGTAATTTGCCATAAATTCACTCCATATATGTGGGTCTAGAGTGCCTTCTGAGGGCATGCCAGCTTTCTTAAGTAACCTCTTAACATTCTTAATTGCTCCTTGTCCTTTGTGATGCTTTACAATAGTCAAAGCCGTAAATCCCCCTTGGGTACTTTCAGAGCTACCCATCTTAAAACTTGTAAGGGTTAATTACTTCCTTACACAAGACAAACTGTACAAAAACAGTGTATTTAAACACTTAGGACCATTGCAGTGGAATTTTCACAGTTTTGTCTTCTAAACACAGATCAGGAGATCTGCCCTTGGAGGATTCTAACTCAAATTATAAAACAAATGACAAGCAGGGCCGGACTGGCCCACCGGGATACCGGGAAATTTCCCGGTGGGCCGTGGCACCTGGGGGCCGGCCGCGTTCCTGGGCCGGCCCTTTAAATACTGCAGCCGCCCGAGCGCTCTGTGAAGAGCCTCAGGCGGCTGCAGCTTCTCCCCTCCCCTCCCCTGTAGCGTGGCCGAGCTGCACTCCGGTCCGCGGTGGC